GCCTCTCCTTGGAAGACCATTAAAAACGACAACGAAGGCAGTGTGTGTTTGTGTGTGTGTTTGTCGTTGTGTCTGCTTGTGCGTCTCCCGGTACCCGAAAAGAGGGAATAGAAGACCGGCATCGGCCAGTGGCCACCGATGTTTACCATTTCACTGGCACGCAACTCGGTGTTTGTGTTTGTTTGCACTGCTCGGTGTGTTTCGATGCTCTTTTGCTTTCAGTCAGCAGACAGGCAGACAGACAACTGTCGGACAGATCAACGGCAGAGACAAAGTAGCGTCAAAAGGCAGAAGGCATACCACTCGTCAGCTACAGGGCATTGAGGAAAAGGGCATTGCCAAAGCAGCCTCCGATTAAGATGCTATGGCGACTAAACGAAGGAACCGAATTCATCCTAATGCTTGCTAGTGGCCGCATCATCTGAGTCTTCCTTTAAGACAGCGGCTAAGTACAACTGCTGCTGCTTCACTGCTGAAGTAGCAGCCACGAGTAGTCCAGTGCTTTTGCCAACGGCCACATTCACATACAAACACACACAAACACCGACATACACCGACATAGACATTCATAGAGACAGTCAGTCAGCCAAACATTGAGCAAGGACACATTGAAAGCCACCGATTACCGAGGCGCACTTCAGGAATTCACTTGTGTAATATCGCTTTATTAAAAAATATTTCGCCACTCGGTGATGCATGTGCATGTATTTGTATGTGTGTTTGTATGTACGAATTCTAGTGCTTGGGTGAAACAAAGACGGCTGAGACGGCAAGTTTGCAATCCACCACCAGCACCACCAACAGCACTACTGCGGGCTGTCGATTTTGTCGATTCTTTTGGATACGTTCTTCTTCTGCTCGCAAGCACACACGTCCAATCCAGCAGTGCACAGCAGTGTTGCCTGATCGAAGTCACCGACAATCCATTTTTATATATTGCAAATTTGTTTTATTAAATTTATCTTTGATTTTTTTGTTGTTTATAATTTTGATAGTACTAACGTTGATACTCTCGTTTGAGCTAGCTTACTATCACTATCACTTTCCCTGCTGAACTGTTTATCTACTCAGCGGTGCGCGCAGTGGCGCAATAAATTTGCATAAGCTAAAGCCAGCAAGCAGATCGACTATATTAAGATTTATATTCACTTGTTTAATTTTTTATTTTTTACTTTCGAGTAGTTGGAAACGCAAAAGCATGTTTGTTGCCATTTGTCCGGCACAAACACACGCACACAGACACTGGCCGCATCTTTCACGGCGATTGCCTCGCCGGCGTCTAATGTAATAAAGCAAATATCATTAAAATTTAATCAAGTCATCTCTCTAGTGTAGCACAAATTAATTAGCTTCCTTCACTGCCCATTAGTCATTAGAGAGGCTGCTAATTTGGCGCCAAACACATGCCCACTTGCTGGGACTGCTGCTGCTACTGCTGCTTTGACTTTATTCATTGAGGCGGCCAAGGACATGTAGCCGTGGCAGGTAGTACTTAAAGAGGAGAGTATTTGCCAAATGGCAGCAGATCGACTTGATAAATAATGAATTGACTGCAAAGGAGGCCAGTGGAGGATAAAACACTGTGTCTCTCTACTCGGTGTTCAGGCATGTGCTGCTGTTGCTGATGCTGCTGCAGTTGCGAATGCTGCCGTTGTTGTTGTTGTTGCCTCTGCTGTTGTTGTGGATTGCTTGGCAGAGCGGTAATCAAACGTTCGGCGAACTGCATCTCTATCCTCGCTGTGGCCATTTGTGCCGGTCGATTAAATTAGCCAGCGGTTCATTGTTTTGTTGCGTGCGCAATTGGTCCAGCTGTTAATTGCCCCAGTGGCACGGGAAGTGCACTGCACAGTACACTGAATCACGTTCAGCAATTGCAGTTTGCAGTCGGAAAAAGATAGAGTTGAAAAATTTCACACGATTTAAACCGTATGGCAGTGGAACTGCAGTGTAGTTTTGAAAATGTCTTTTGACTGTCTAGTCACTGCTACTGCCACTGATGCTGCTGTTGCTGTTTCCTCCTGAGCCGATTTACTCTAACGACCTAAACGGAGGCAATTGCCACCATTTCGATGTGTGCTTGGTGCATCGTTTTATTAGGCAACCGGATAATAAAATGCTCGCATGCGAACAATGACCATAGTCAGACAGACAATTTTTGCTGCACCAATTGCTGAGCAATAGTCACGGACAGGCGCTGTTGAACTGCAGATGCAGCTGACAGAACCCTCGACGACAAAGATTAAGTTGAGGTGACGTCACAACATCGTCTTGTGGTAGATAAATACTGCTTACTTTTTGTTGGGCAGAAAAAGGTGTTTGCAAATGTACTAAAACTAAAACTGTGTGAATGGAGAATTTGAGCACAGTTCAGTGAGCTAATGAGCAACTCAATCAAGCTAGAGGCAGAGACAAATTGAAGTGAAATCTACCAAACAACAGTTCAGTTATATTCAAATTGAAATAATGCAATTTGCCGACAATGCAAACCAACCAACAGCACATTCCCCCGCGCTCAGGTGCCACTGAGCAAACAGCACTGCTGACTCGCCGACTCATTTGCCCCCTTTATTTGCACTGCCGCTGACCGAGTTAATTAGCGTTTGTTTTTTGGCTTCATTGAGACAATCTCCAAAATAGATTGTCGCCGGTGGAGGTGCAGTATGCCCGCTTGGCAGTGCAGTACCCTCCAGTACCCACCGTCACTCACACCTCGACCTGTCAAGAACACTGAGCACAGTGTGCCGCTGACGGTGCGCAGGCAGAGATGGCATGGCAGACACACTGGCCATGCACAACTGGCACACTTTTACTGAAAACTCAAACTCATGTCGGGATTTCAGAGAGCGACACTGCAGTTGAAACTTTGAGCGGAAATTAACAAGCAGCATTATTTAAGTTTGAGTCAAACCGACTAAGAAGACTACCCAAAACAGGCATTCCATTTGTAAGCGATAAGACTACTACACATGTAGAATGACTACCACCACCACCACCACGGCTTAGTTAAATTACTCCCGTCCGTTCATTGCATAAGGTAAATGGAGTAAAAGTGTGTAATGGCAAATGAAGAGCAAGGCAGAATAATGGATGCTTTAAAAACATGAGTTGAACTGCTCTTGTACAAAAAAAGTAGCCAACTCTGCACTTTTGCCTTCCCCCACTGCTGCTGTGTTAATTCTACTCTACTTTACAGTAATAGAGTTTGTTTTAAAACTTTGCAATACTTTCTGAATGAGTTGGCAATAGATACTTTTTGCTTTCCGGCGTCGGCCACCGACTTGGGTGCTGGTCAGTGCAAGTAGAGCTGTTCCTTTCAGTGGCCTCCTTTGCTCGGTGAATCAATTGAAGCTGGAAAGCTGAGTTGTGCTGAGGGGGCCAGGCAAAAACTCGCCATCATCGTCCACCGACCATTTGTTTCGTCTGTTGTGCCCCATCGTCTAGAGGATGGCAATAAATAAAGATGCACTCAGTGCTCATTTGTGACACCAAATTTATGAGCAAATATGACATTAGCTAGTTAGTCCTCGTTGCTGTTCCTTCTTCTCCCTGACCAGTGCCTGTGTCGGCGAGTAGCAGTGTGTAACTCTAATTGACCCCACATGTGTCTGCGTTGCCTCTGCCAAATGGACAGAGCCTGCACAGAGTCCAGTGCGAACAGTACAGTGCAGCACAGGGCTACATTATCATTTATCATCGCCTGGCTTCAGGTGTTTTCATGTCGGTTTGTACTGACATGTTTTAGATAAATACTAACAAAATTGTTTTTGTTTTGATGATTCGAAGTGGAGAAAAGGAGAAACTTGAGTGATAACTCGTTTGTGATGATGGTGAAAAGAATAAACAGCACACTTGGATGCTTTACTACTACTACTACTACCACCACCAACAGCTGCGAGATACAGTGCGGTTGATTGAGATGCACATCGACAAAAACTGCTGCTGCTGCTGCTGCTGGAGATGAATGTCTTCTTTTTGTTTCACTTCTTGCCTCTGCTCCCCGCGACGGCTGCAGAAGTGATCAGTTACCATTATGGAAAATTTTGATGCCACCACTTTGAAAAAAATTGAAAAATAAGTGCGCTTTTGCTCGAACGAGCGATGCATCTTTGGGCCTAGTGGAGAAAAAATTGAAACGGCGCTGCACTTCCACTGATGAACTGATATGCCTGGTGCGATGCAGTGGTGGTAGTAGCAGTCAGTGGCTTCTGCCAGTCACTCTGCTTAGCAAGCAATGGCTCACACTAATTAGCGTTAATTAAACCAAGACTTTATTGCTTATTATTGAAGTAAAGAAAACGACAAAGTGCCTACAGATAGACTGCAAATTCAGAGACTAATGGCTGCGAGACAATAATTAACCGTGGAGCATTCTCTTTTTTAGCCGCCCTGAAATGGAACAACGAAGCAGTGAATGGGGGTAAGGCAGACGCACTAAAGGCATTCTTTGAAATTGTAAATTCACAAATGAAGTCACAAAACGTTGCTTAATGGGCCAAGCACTACTATCCGTGTAAATGAATGAAATGGTATTATGCAGAAGAGCTGGGTTTACTGGGTGGTAGTATATGGAGGAACATTTTGGCAAACAAAAACTCACACACAATCACNTGGGCCAAGCACTACTATCCGTGTAAATGAATGAAATGGTATTATGCAGAGGAGTTGGGTTTACTGGGTGGTAGTATATGGAGGAACATTTTAGCAAACAAAAACTCACACACAATCACACAAAAAACGCAAACGCACACAAGGCTAGGGGTTGTCATTAACATTTGCCGTAGTGTCACTTCATTCATGTCTAACAGGAGGGTTTGAGGTGAGTGAGAGAGAGACAGTGAAGAACTGTTTTATTGCTTAATGTTGACATGCTTGATTATCAATAAAATAATTGAATAAACGGAGAGAACGCGATGATAGCTGACTTGCTGGATTTGCTTGACTATTTGACTATTTGACTTGATACCGAGGGGATGGCACCAATTGTGCGTCAATTGGGTGCTCTAGTCTTCCAAATTTCTAAATGCTTGTTGCATGTTTTCATATAATTCATCGTAATCCTTGCGAATCTTTACCTCGCCTTCCTTAACCGGATCCTAAAATGAAAAGAGCATTTCGTCAGTATTAAGTTGTGTAAGTAACGCAAATGAACACTGCCAGTATATGCTAACAGCGGTAATATATACCTTGAATTTCATGCTGCTAAGCTGGTACATAATGTCGCCCATGGCCTCCTTGATCATCGCATAGGTAATGCGATTATCGCCCTTGGCTGAGTCAACAGCCGTCTTGGCCAAATCATAAAAGCCGATCATATTCTTAAGCATGCCGCATGATTTGTAGAACGGGCAAAATCTGTCGTACGGCGTGTAGCTGTTCTGCTGGAGGAAATCTTCCTTAATCAGCTTGGCAACTTCGAGAGTAATTTTATCCGTCTCTGCAAGCGATGCCTTTCCGACAAGCTGGACAATTTCCGAGAGATCCTCCTCCTCTTGCAAGATTCTTTGGCACTTTAGTGGGGAGAAAAGCAAGTAAATTATGTGTGAATTATATATAGATACTACCACCACTGTGTACTACTGGAGCACAGTGCACTTACTTTGGTTCGCAGGGGAACAAAATCGGGGTAGTGGCGTTCATAAAAGTCATCGAGTGCGCGCATGTACTTCGAGTAGGAGATGAGCCAGTTGACGGAGGGAAAGTGCTTTCGCTGGGCGAGCTTCTTGTCCAAGCCCCAGAAGACCTGGACGATGCCCAGGGTGGCGGAGGTGACGGGGTCGGAGAAGTCACCACCGGGCGGCGACACGGCGCCCACAATGGAGACGGAGCCCTCGCGGCCAGGGTTGCCGATGCACTTCACTCGACCGGCTCGCTCGTAGAAGGAGGCGAGTCGGGCGCTGAGGTAGGCCGGGTAGCCCGAGTCGGCGGGCATCTCCGCCAGTCGGCCGGAGATTTCTCTGAGCGCCTCTGCCCATCGGGAGGTGGAGTCGGCCATCATGGAGACGTTGTAGCCCATGTCGCGGAAGTACTCCGCCAGTGTGATGCCCGTGTAGATGGAGGCCTCTCGAGCGGCCACCGGCATGTTGGAGGTGTTGGCCACCAGGGTGGTGCGCTTCATGATCGACTCCGTCTTGCCGTCCACCTCCACGGTGAGCTCGGGAAAGTCGCGCAGCACCTCCGCCATCTCATTGCCGCGCTCGCCGCAGCCGACGTAGACGATGACGTCACTGTTGGAGTACTTGGAGAGCGCCTGCGAGATGACCGTCTTGCCGCAGCCAAAGGCGCCGGGAATGGCCGTCGTGCCGCCCTGCACACAGGGAAACAGCGAGTCGAGCACTCGCTGACCGGTCAACAGTGGGTGGTTCGCCGCTAGCTTCTCCGCCGTCGGTCGCATCTGTCGGACGGGCCACACCTGCAACATCGTGTACTTGGTCACCTCGCCGTCAAAGTCCGTCTCCAGAATGGTGTCCTGCAGAGAGATCAGATTGAGTCAGTTAAATTGAACCTAACAGACCCAAGTGGGGTCGCTGAACTACTTACGGCCAGGTCATAGCTGCCCGCCTCGGCAATGTACCGCACTGTGCCGCGAGCCTTCGGCGGTAGAAGGATCTTGTGCTTGATGAGGGTGTTCTCGTGGACAAAGCCGAAAATGTCGCCGCCGGTGATGTTGCTGCCCACACGGACGTTCTGCGGCACAAAGTCCCACTTGAGCGCTCGGTTGAGGGCATTCGTGTTGATGCCCTTGGGAATGTAAATACTCTGCGTCATGGTGTGGATGTCCTGCAGTGGTCGCTGGATGCCGTCGAAAATGCTGCCCATGATGCCGGGGCCCAGTTCAACGGAGAGGGGCTTGCCCGTTCGCAAGACAGGGTCGCCCACGGTGACACCGGCTGAAATGGAAGAGATAGAGTCAGCTATGGTTGTGGTAAAGGGGTGTCAATGAAATGACTTACATGTTTCCTCGTAGACCTGAATGGTGGCCATGTCTCCCTCCAGACGAATGATCTCACCGACCAGTTCTTCGTGGCCGACGCGAACCAACTCGTACATGGCGGCACCGGACATTTTCTCTGCCGTGACGACAGGACCAGAGACGGCGTAGACGTAGCCATACTCTGATTCTCTCTCAACGTCACGTATTTTTGACAAACCCGACATTAATTCGGTTGCACCAGCCTGAGAAAAGTAGGTAATAAGAGAAGTTGATGATTAAGAAAACAAATCAGGCGAGGGAGGCAATTGAAAATGAAAGTTTTTCCCATTTTCTAAGTATTAATTGAGCCAACACAACTGTTTGCAGTGTACGACAGCTGAAAAGGGGGTGTATTTTCCTTTCAGCGCCACCTAAACGGCTTGTCGTAGAGCTTTTCGCTCAAAAACAACGCTCTCTATTCAGTAGAATACGTCTTCTAAACACTAAAATTATGTCCACACCGTCAATTGTCCCCGGTAGGGAGGCACTAAGGACCACTGGCACTTACCATGATGATGAGGAGCAGCGATCAGTGGACAGATGGGCAAAGAGTGTGCACAAGACTACGGCTGAGTCTGCTTGAGATGGACGGAAAAAGAGGTTGAGGAGATGCGGGGAGTGGGATGAGTGAGTGAGTGTGTAGAAGTCCTTGGTCCGCTGAGCAGGGTACGTGTGGGTTGCAACGTTGCTGGAATGCTAAGGTCGTCGAGACACAATCTCGCAGAGGCACACACACCAGAGACCGAGTGAGTGCAAAAACTGGGAGTTTAAGGTGAACGAGAGAAGAGGCAGCAGCAGAAGCAGCAGCAGCAGAAAGATGACGGCTGCCCAGTTAGCGCCGACTCAGCAAAGGAGGCAGCCTGACACCGCGACAGTGCACATAGCGACACACAGCGATAGGGGAAATCAGTTGGCACCGTATGGGGTGAACCACGGCTTTTGGTCAGGTGGCTCCCAATCAACTTTTGCTCCAACCACCAACTTGGTCGCCTCGTAATCAGTTGAACTCTTTCACCGACGTGTTGACTATACACAAGTCAATCTAGTCATATGAGTCGCACATGCGAGCATTAATTTGCACTTGGCATTTTAGTTCACCCAGTGCCGGCACTATCAGCAGCAGCATCATCATCAGTAGCAGCAGCTGCAGGTCTGGTTACTGGTCGATGTCCGAGTGAGCAGCAATATGAGCATGAAAAATTCAGTTTATAGCATGAAGATGGGATACAAAAATCTGGTGACCTAGTGAACAGTTACATGTCTTGAGTGCTCCACCGGTACGCCTCCTCTTGGTTGGCCTCAGCATTTGACTGGCGCAAGAAGATCTTGGCCTCATAGCCAGTGGAGCGGTCGACACCGTCCCAGCGATAACCTGGTTGAATGTTGAAACGATTGGGCGGCGGTGGAGGCCCCTTATATTTGGGAAACACTTTTATATTTGGATTGCGTGCTTTTTCCTCCTCTTCCCGCTTTTTCCGAATTTCCTGGAGCATCGGATCATCAAGGCGCTCTTTATCACGGAGCAGTTTATCCAAATCAGAGTCGTCTCCGTATCGAGCTAAAGGCTTTGACATTTCATGCAGATCACTTTCTAGCCTTTCTAAATGGGCTTCACGTTGAACTAAGCCTTTAGACCACTTGTCATAGGTTGCCTTCTTTGCAGCTTCTTTCAGTTCTTTTTCACGATCTTCTTTTTCCTTTTCGGCCAGCTCCTTTTCCATGTCCCGAATTTTTCCGGTTTTGCGATCACGAAATACCGTTTGTGCATTCTTTCCAGATTGCTCGTCGCTTAAGCCTTTCATGAACTTTTCATTTTTCCGCTTCAATTCATCAAGTTCTTTGCGAATTTCTTTTGCATTTGAAAGGCCGGCTCTTTTACCAGAAAGAGTTTTAGCCTTTGATTTGCTGGAGGTGTTGGCCACTGACGTAGTTGTGTCGTCTTCGTCCTCGCTTTTAATTTTGACCTCATTATCGTCTCCTAATCGTTTCCATTTTGAGCGGTCCTTGTCAGCAAGTGGTCTTTCGTCAATCACACCAGCAATGATGGGCTTTTCTTCTTTTGTTCCAAAATATAGCTCCTCCTCGTCGCTGTCCACTTTGCCTAACGTCCGAAAATCAACGTCATCATCAACGATTTTTACACTGAAAATAAAGAAAATGTAAGGTTTTAGGAACAGTTGAAAAATGTGTTTCACTTACGTAGAATTCTTAATTTTGGCGAGTTTTTTAATTTTTCTCTTTTTTTCTTTAGTCTCGTAGTCACCTTGAGAAAGATATTTTGTGTGAATGTACTCCTGATGAGTCATAGGACGATTATATGATTTGGAGTTCATTTTGAAAGGAATGATCCAAAAAACTTGGCAATGAAAAAATGAGAAAACAGTTTTTTAAATGTTGACTCAAAACGTAAACATAACGAGAAGCGCCGTGAGTTTCACTGCGCATGCTTGCTTGATTGCACGCGGCCTGACATGACGTAACTGAAACGAAAAAGAAACATTTTTGAAAACACACATTTCTCTTTTTCAAAAGCACCAGAGAATTCGTTTGCATGACTGTCCAGAGATTCTGATTAGTGATAAAAGCAGTTTATGATCAGATATTCCCTTTTAATCAAATTGATAAAGATGACAACTCGGAAAAAGTCTCCTTATTTCAATTCTCCTCCGAGTAAGAAGCAAAAAAGCAGTAAACCAAAAAGACTGGCCGATGAATTTTTCTCCGCTCATTCAACTGAAGAACTAGCAAAAGGTTTGCTTGGAAAGTATTTGTGTCGCCGTGTTGAGGACTCTGTGTTGAAAGCTCTCATCGTCGAGACGGAAGCTTACGTCGGAGTGGAAGATCATGCTTCATTCTCATACGGTGGACGGCGAACAGAAGCCAATGAGCCGATGTACATGTCAGCCGGTACCTGCTTCACAAAGTTCACCTACGGAATGTACTACTGCTTTAATATCTCCAGCAAAGATAATGGTGGTGCAATACTGGTGCGTGCAGCGGACCCGATAGAGGGCATAGAGAAGATGTGCCAGCTGCGAAGACAGCATCCAAAGGCGCCCAAAAATGACAGTTTCACTGAGAATCCCCATCAACTGGCTAGTGGACCGTCAAAGCTGTGCATCGCTTTTGCCATTGATGCATCGCTGAATAAAGCCAACATACTCGATGACCCTGCCATTTGGATTGAGGATTCAGGGCAAGTTTACGGCGATGAGGATATTGTCAAGGCAACCCGTGTCGGTATTTCCCAAAAAAATCCATGGGCTAATCGATTGTTGAGATTTTACTTGAAGGATTTCAAATCTGTTAGCAAAAAGTAGTTTACCGCCACTCTGGCGACTACTAACTTTATGTGTAAGTTTTGTACAATTAACAAAAATTGATGTGCAATTAAAGATCGCTTTTGTCTGGCACTTTGCTAAAGTATTTGCTTGCTTTCTCCGGATCAGGAACAATGGTAGCTGCACCTGGCTTCCAATTAGCAGGGCACACTTCGCCGTGTTTGTCAGTGTACTGGAAGGCCTGAACCAGTCGAAGAGTCTCGTCAACTGATCTTCCCACTGGCAGGTCGTTCATCGTGATTTGCCTCAAGATGCCCTTAGGGTCGATGATAAATAGGCCTCTGTACGGGATAGAAAATGTATTAGTCACTGAACTGACACTACCACCTGCAGCCCAAACAACGAACCGAAGCGAGTGACCCAAGTCCTCGAGGTAAACACCGTAGTCTTTAGAGATCTGATGAGTTTGGTCGGAAAGCAGCGGAATGTTTAGACGTCCCAGTCCGCCTTGCTTACGGGATGTTTTGATCCTGTTCGGTCAAACAAGCACAATTTGGTAAACGCCTCCTTCCATGAAGTGTGACAAACTTACCAAGCAAGGTGGGTGAATGGCGAATCGACTGAGCAGGCGACCACTTCAGTGTTGAGGGCACGGAACTCCTGAACGCGGTCGCTGAATGCGATGATTTCAGTCGGGCAAACGAAGGTGCTGAAAAGGAAAACTTGTCAAATTGTAACGACTGTACAAGCTGGATGGCAATCACTTACAAATCAAGTGGGTAGAAGAAGAAGACCAGGTACTTGTTTCGAAAGTTGGTCAGATTAAGCTCCTTCAGTTCATTGTTGACGACGGCGGTGCCTTCCCAGAAGGGCGCCTGCTTCATGACTGTCACAGTTGACATTAGTTTGAAAGACTAGAAAAAGGCGTGAAATGACACTTACTTTGCGCCTTAGACCAGTGCAATCGGTGGTAGCCATCACTTTTGAGTTCTCGCGGGTAAACATCATGTCCATTGCCGTATGCCTGGCACTGCTCGGCGGCAAAGGTGGCACCGGTGCTCAGTGCGAACACCATCACCACCACTACCAGCATCAGCAGTTGAGGGCACATTTGTTTGAGGTGATGTTGGAGCAGGTGAAGAGGGTAGTGCATGTTCACAAGTCTCTGTTAGAGACGGTTCGGCTCTGGCTGGCTGTCCACTGCTACCTGTCTGCTGCTGCTACTGTCTGTGGCCGGCAAACTCGGTGCGACCACCAAAAGTAATGCGTTGGCACTTGGCAACACTCTCACTCACTCTCACTCAGTGTGACACTTTGCCACTCATCAATTAAAGCGAGGCATTCCTGGCACCACGATTGTTGCCGCACTCTATGAGCCGCAGATCTGTCTGCTGCTGCTGCTCTTGTGCTACCACTACTCTCGGCGACGACGACCACTTCTCTTGCCATCTGGCGGAATGAAGTCTGCCGGAGAAACAAATTACCCCCGCCAATTACAACAGTACGCTTGGCACATAATCATCAGTCATCAGTTGGGTGAGCCGAATGCTTTATTCAGTTTTGTTTCGAAAAAAAACGTCTGAATGGTAAAGTAAAGTGAAAAGTGGTGATAGTTCCGGTGCACCGTTTGGTGGTGTGAGAGCTGTCTGTCCGAGTGGCTGAGTGGATTGAATTGGCTGTGCGCTAGCATGTGCGGTGTCGGTCATTTGGCACGGTGATCATAAGTTAACTGAGTTGAGGTGAAATGTACAAAAGGTGTGTGTGTGTTTGTGTGCGAGGCTAGCTGAAGTGCAAGTTGGCCGTCTTCTTGGCAATGATTGGCGTGTTGTGTGCAGAGTCGATGCTGATCACCGAGCCTAGCTGCGAGCAAAACTGGGAGCTGTCGTAGAAGATGCGCAGGGAGAAGAACATGTAGGCGTTCTTGTTGCCGAACCTGTTGGATGTTTAATGTTTGGGTTATTTCTCATTGATGGATGTGTGATTCAATGTACCTGTTGGCCAGAAAAGTGTCCGTATTGGCTGCCTTCTCAATGTCTTTGGGACTGTCATTTCGAAAGTCTTTGGCAAAAACCTCTACTGTCTCGGCGCTGAATATCCGCGGATAGAGGTGCCGGTCATCGCCAGTGCCCGACGTCGTCTTCTTCAGCTGTGCACGGTACTTTTCTAAATGACCGAATGATTAAGAAATTATCTCAACAAATCACAAAATGCCCTTACCTAAGCACGGATTGACCCAGTCTGAGAGACGCTGTTTGATGTCGTGAATGGTGTCCGTCTTGTTGTACGGCAGGAAGAGTCGCGTGGAGAGAATG